TGTATTTGACCGTCTTGGATAACTCAATGGGGTGTGTTTTGGGCCAGCATGACGAGTCTGGTCGAAAAGAGCATGCTATTTATTACCTTAGCAAAAAGTTTACCGACTGTGAGACCCGCTACTCACTGCTCGAGAAAACTTGTTGCGCTTTGGTATGGGCTGCTCGCCGACTAAGACAGTATATGTTGACTCATACTACCTTGTTGATTTCCAAAATGGATCCTATCAAGTATATTTTCGAAAAGCCCGCTTTATCTGGAAGGATAGCTAGATGGCAAATGATCCTAACTGAGTATGACATCCAGTACACCACCCAAAAAGCTATAAAAGGGAGTGTACTAGCTGACCATCTGGCTCATCAAGCTATCGAAGATTATCAACCCATGAGATTTGACTTCCCAGACGAGGACATCATGAATTTGGACAACATTGAAGGTAACGGACCGTATGACGGACCCGAAAAGGGATCCCGATGGACCCTGTACTTTGATGGTGCTTCAAATGCACTTGGAAACGGTATTGGCGCAGTACTCATTTCTCCGGAAGGTTGTCACACACCTTTCATGGCCCGACTTTGCTTCAGCTGCACAAACAACATGGCTGAGTATGAAGCTTGCATCTTTGGTCTCAAGGCTGCTATAGACTTGGGGATCAAATCTTTGATCGTATTTGGGGATTCGGCTTTGGTTATCAGTCAAATCAAAGGAGAATGGGATACCAAGCATCCTAATCTTATCCCATACAAAGAACATGTCTTGACATTGTTGCCTCATTTCGAGCAAATTACCTTCGAGCATTTCCCGCGAGAAGAGAATCAGCTAGCAGATGCTCTAGCTACAATGTCCTCCATGTTTAAACTCAACTGGGATAACGAGGCTCCACAAATCACCATCGAGCGAATGGATGAACCTGCGCATTGTCACGAGATTAATACCGAAGAAGTAGTGGAACAACCTTGGTTCCATGAAATCAAAAGGTATCTCGAGACCAGAGATTATCCCGAAGGAGCTTCCGTAAATGACAAGAAGTTCTTAAGGAAATTTGCTGCCAAATTCTTCCTGAGCAACGGCATCCTTTACAAATGAAGCCATGATTGTGTACTACTCCGATGCGTAGACAAAGCTGAAGCAGAGTTGATCATGACTGATGTACACAGCGGCACATTTGGCACTCACTTGAGCGGGCATACAATGGCTAAAAAGATCTTAAGGGCAGGCTATTACTGGTCTACCATGGAAGCTGACTGCCATCAACACTCCCGTACTTGCCACAAATGTCAAGTCTACGCTGACAAAGTTCATATCCCTCCGGTTCCTCTCAACGTTCTGACTGCTCCTTGGCCATTTGCAATGTGGGGCATTGACATGATTGGAGAGATCAAGCCCACGGCTTCCAATGGACATCGCTTCATCCTGGTTGCCATTGACTATTTCACCAAATGGGTCGAAGCAGCTTCCTTCGCCTCTGTTACTAAAAATGTGGTTGCCCGCTTTATCAAGCAAAATCTCATATGTCGGTATGGTGTTCCAGACAGGATCATCACAGACAACGGTACAAATCTGAATAACACAATGATCACCGCATTATGCAAACAGTTCAAGATTTATCATCACAATTCATCTCCCTATCGGCCGAAGATGAACGGTGTTGTTGAAGCTGCGAACAAAAACATTAAGAAGATCATTCAGAAAATGACAGTCACTTACAAAGACTGGCATGAGATGTTACCGTTTGCTCTGCATGGATACCGTACGACGGCACGTACTTCAACTGGGGCAACCCCATTTTCTTTGGTTTATGGCATGGAAGCTGTTTTGCCTATGGAAGTTCAGATTCCTTCTCTAAGGATTATGAAGGATGCAGGTTTGAATGAAGATGATTGGATGCAGACCCGAATTGATCAACTCAATCTGATCGACGAAAAGCGACTTGCTGCTATATGCCATGGTCAGGCGTATCAAAAACGAATGATCAAGGCCTTCAATAAGAAAG